TAAGTAATTCCAGTTGAATCATCTGAGACTTTATTTCCTTTCCCTTCTCTGTTCCCCACACCCTCACCCCCCTTTCTTTGCTCAGGTCTCATCTTGTGCCAAATGCATGGGCTTTAAAACTTCCTCAGGTCATCTCTAAAAAACATAATTGCTTTTGAACATGATCATTAAGCTTCATTAACAACTGACAGTATGATAATGGATCTAGTTGACAGCAACAGTCAAAATTGACTATTAGTGTATTCACACGCTTTTCATGTAACAGAGCAACCATGACTTTTGACTGTTTTCAAGTTATCCAAAAATCATAATCATTCTTAATAATGATGGCAACTTGTTCCTAAAATTTACTTGTTAAATTTAAATATCTCTGTATTGTATTTATTTTGTAGTGGTGGTACTTATTTGCCCACATAAATGGCTTTTTAAAAAAATTTTTTATTTTTTATTTTTTAAAGATTTATTTATTTGAGAGAAAGAGAGAGAAAGCATGCAAGTGGGGGAGGAGCAGAGGGAGAGGAAGAGAATCCCCAGCAGATTCCCTGCTGAGTGCAGAGCCCCATGTGGGGGCCCATCTCAGGACCCTGAGATCATGACCTGAGCCATGCCAAGAGTCGGCTGCTTAACAGACTGAGCCACGCAGGCGCCCCCATAAATGGCTTTTTAAAAAACAGGTCATGTTCATCAATATGCTAGCAAGCTTTGACTGATATTGGCTCTGTTTTTATATTACTTCATTTATAGCAATATTAAATCAATTCTTATTTTGGAAGCCAAGAAAATGTTTTATACTGCAATATGGTTGCCTCCCTAGAGTTCATTAGCTCATTTTTCCTTCAATTAACTCTGTGTTCTCTGTGCCCCTCTGCTAACATTCCTGACTCTGAAGTTTTACTGTGCACGCAGGCAGAGCACCCAGGTTGGTCTAGAACCGTCAAAGAAAATATAAACTGCAAATGACCTTACACAGTATCTATCCTAGACTGCTGCTTGTCTATCAGTGTTGTCTCTGGAAGATGAAGGACTACCCGAGGCAAGGTCATGTCATGTAAGGCTGCAGTGCAATATATACTTGTTAATTAACTCTGGGAAATACTTGGATTTAGGGATAAATTTGGACTGCCCTTTCAATGACCTATTAATTGTGCTATTATATTTTTAGTGTTTTCAAAGAACTTTAACAAAGGCAAATAAATAGCCAAGCTATATATTCATATATGTTCACTTATTAGCACAAATTTGGGTTCAAGAATGAGAGCAAATGAATACTCCTTAGACTTACTGAACTGAACTTTTTATTCCACTTAAAACCCACCAATTTGTTGCTGGTGGTTTAATTTGGGTAGATTTAATTTAGATCGAGTGTTTAAAAATTGAGTAAAAAGTACACACAGCCTAGTATTTTAAACTTCATTCTTCCTGAAAGGTCAACATTTAGTATTAACTGTTTGGTGAAACTGATCAAATGGAAAGCTTATCTAAATGAAAAACCCATATTTTCAATAGAGAAATTTTTAAATATTATCTGATTAATGAATTAAGAGTTAGAAAATATAGCCTCAACTAATGCATTTTGCCTAGGGCAACACAACAATCATATTACTTGCTTATGCTTGTGGAAGCAATGCCTAGTGAACTCAATTTTAGGCCTATTATCTCTTTTAGATAATATTGTGTTGAGCAACAAGAATGCTTTCACTGCCTTTTTCCCCGAAACCTTATCTCATTGAATTTAAGACCAGAGGTTTCTTTTAGTGTTTTAAAGGTTCATAACTCTATTTTCTAAAACAAGGAATAATAGATGAGGATTACTTGTAATCAGAGATTCTTCGAGATACTACTGACATGGTTATAAAAGTTGCTTTTGCTTTTCTAGCTAAATTAGCAATTGCTCGCATTCCCGTGTTTCTCTATCTAGGAGGGAGGCTGCATATGCTAGGCTGTCAGCTTTTCCAGCAGCACTCACAAATATTTTCCTTTGCTGCAAACTAAACCCTTGACTCAGTGTCTCACCCAGTAGACATTATTCATTTTGAAACAACACAGCTGTAATTCAGATTTTTGTGTCTGATACCTTTCTCCATGAGTTAGATTATAAAAGTAGGCAAAAAATATTGGGAGGACTACATTTAATAAATTTCACTGAGAAAGAATCTGTCAATGCAATTAACTTTCAAAGACTGAGGTAGGGGTGTTTCTGTTGTTAGTAGGAATTTTTATTTTTAAAGATACTGGTAATTCAGTTGGTTTATTCATCCTTAAATACCACATTTTTGACAAAATGTATAAATAAATAATTGAATCAATGGATTAATTTTTCATCTATTTTCTTCACTACTCAAAAGCAAATGGTGAAGGGCCATGTCTGGAGATACGGAAGTTTATGAAATAGTTCATGAAGCTGATAGCATCATCAAAGAGGGGTCAACATGCAGAATGACATTTCGTCCATAAGAGGGGTGCAATGTGTGGGTATACCATGTATCTGGTTACAGGAGATGAGGTAAAGTGAGTCAAGGGGAAGAATTTGGCATTCAGAAAGTAGGTTGAAACAGTCAGTACCAAAGAGGTTCAGAAAATGGCATTGAGTTTTCCACAAAGCCGATAAAACACTGCAACAAGGATTTGTGTAGAAAATAACATGTAGACATCAAGGTCTGCATCATCATGGTCTTTCCTAAACAAACATGACATTAGCCACAAAGTTTGAAGGGTAGAGACAGGATTTTAGCAACAAAACAGATTTGGAAAAGTAAGGCATTGATACTATGCTGGAAAAATTTCCAGACTTTCTAGACATGATTTCTTACACAGAAAAGGAAAAAAAAAATGACTCTACCAAATTGGGGCCCAAGCTGAGGGTTTGTTCCCAACTCCATAAAGTCAAAAGATGAGAGTCAGACTAACAGCAATGCTGACTTTATGCTATTCTAGGTTTTGCAAATGTACTTTAATTTGGGATAGGATTGATTCCAGCGCAGACATGTAAGATAGTGGAAAGAACAGATGGAAGAAAAGGAAATTAAACAGAAAAACATAGTAGTATAATGAAAAGGCCTGGAAAAACTGTGAGACACTTCCTGTTTCTGATAACAGTGGAATAGTTTATTCAGATCACTCATCCTGTTGAAAGCAATTTAAAACTTAGGTAGAAGATTTAAAAAAATAAAATTCTCCTTAAAACATTAAGAAAATGATGAGATTGTCAACAATTACCAATGGCAAAATAAAAGGAATGTTAGAAATCAAGTCCACAAGCAAACACAGATAGTACTTTAGGCATTTGTTGACCTAGAAAATTAAAAGCTTCCTATGATGAAGAGGACTGAATTTAAAGCTGAAGGTGTACATAGGAGCCTAACAGGAGACCCTCATATTATCTTGGACTCTGGATGAACGTAAACAAGAAGAGAACTAGTTCTTGGCATGGAATTACAATCCAGGTGTCTACCCCTTCAGTGCTCCAAGGAATTTGAAACTGACATGGTTGAAGGTGGACATGGACAGGTGGAATTCACAGTTATCTGTCAGAAAAGAACATAAGTCTTGCCACAAAAGGAGAAACTTTCCATAAATTTGAAATTCTAATAATATACTAGTCATAAAAGAGACTTGGTCACAAAGGAAATGACTGCAAACCAGAAGAAACAAGAGAAAAAGAAATACTTTAGATAATGAAATTATTAGATGCAGACCAAGAAGTCATTATCCTATTAAGAAAAAAATAATAAAATACAAGATTAAAGATATCTACAGAAAATAGGAATCTGTTAAAGTGGCATACCATGCTTGAAAAAAATCACATTGAAATTATAGGAAAAAACCTCCATAGGTATTTTAAAAGCAAGTTAAACAGTTATAGAGGGAGCTTATGATCTGTAATATAGGTTGGAAAAGTTGTCTGAACAGCATGGAATGATCAAAATATGGAAATTTTTGTATGTGACTAAAAGAGAGTAAGCTGCAAAAGGGTTTAGCATATGTATAATTGGAAGATAGAAAGAGAGAGAGATAAAACTTAGGATTTTTCAAGACCTGATGAAAGATATTGCATTACTCGGAAACCTGCATCAATAATAGCGTAACAAGTGATTTCCACATATCAGTGTTCTATAGTAAAACAAATTTACTTTTGTTGTGCACAATTCCTTGAATTGGTTGAGGATCAAGTTTAATATTGGTCTATATGACTCTCATTTGGGGACTAGCAGCTAATTTGAACATGCTTTTCTCATGGAGGTTGGCAATAGAATAAGAAGGACAAATGGAAACACTAGGTATTGGTAGAGCTTTGGCTGGGTACTGACACACTCTCACTCCCTCATACATTTTTTGATCAAAGCACTTTATATGGACATGCTCATTATCAATGAGACGTGGACATATACACTGCCCATTGTAAACCAAAGTATATTCAAGCAGGGAAGAAAGAATTGTGAGAATAAAATAAAATACGTCACAGACACACATCTACTATTTCAGGATGTTTAATTAACCTCAGAAAAATGAATGAATGAATGGATAAACAAAGATCAAAGACAAAGAGGAAATTTAAGTATAACGAGAGAAGACATATGCTCTCCTAAGTAGTGACAATGAGACAGTTGTCTTTTTAACACTTTTAGCATCAGCAACAATAATAATTATTTTTTAATAGAGGTGGACTAGAAGTGTTCAAGTTAAAAGACAAAGATTGTCAGACTAGATGAAAAACAATCTAATTATAAATTTAAGAGATACATCTATAGCAAAGCATACAGAAAAGTTAAAATTTGGGAGATAAAAAAGTGTATTATAAAAGCACTAGGTAAAAGAAATCTGTGTAACTTGACAACTCTCTTCTCAAGATAGCTTGTCATAAATTGTGATGAGCACATTAACCAGCCATGTGAAAATATCTCCTATATACTACCTTCTTTCTTCATTCTGTCTTCTCCTTCCTTGGAGCAAATCCTCCATGTGTTTAGTAATTATCTGTGATTTTCAAAAAATGCACTTACCATTCAATGCTCATTTCATGGCTATAAAAATCTTCTTTTCCTTGAACTGTGAAGGCAAAAATATCTCGTTTTATAATTGGAAAAGTGTATCATCGTCATTCTCAAGAATCTCTACTGTATAATAGCTGTTACTACTAGAATACGACAATATATCGTGTATCTTGACAGATTCAAATACACTTGAGTGCTTCTCAAGACCCATAGTCAATTGATATACTTTATTATATTTCATTTGTCTTTCTGATTGTGACAAGTCTAGAATACAAGAAACTCTCATATGCCATATCATCTTCTCCCCTACATAGACAACAAACAAATCATTTTTACTAAAAGCATTTCAGAGACACTAATCCTCGATTTTAGGTATATGTTAGCAAGTCCAAATATTAATGAAAAACAGAGATGAAGAGGTTAGATTGGATTGTACGAGCTAAAATGTTTACACTCTTAGAAGGTGGAGGGACATTGGTTTTTTTAGATTTTATTAATACTTGTTCTTGATTGTTTAAAAACATAGAGTTGGACATATAAAAAATTATGAAGTTTGAAAAGTTGCTGCTGTGATTGTAATCAGAAGAGAAATGGACATGGAAGCAAGAGACATGATTTCTAGCCCTGGTTCTGCCGCTTATTGTAATGTGACCTTGGATAAGTCACTTTACTACTTGGAATCTTGGGCTTTTCACTGACAAAAAAAAAAAAGACATCCTGAGGTTGGTGTGAGGGGCCAGTGGAATATTAGATGTGATTAAAACATTTGTATATTTTAAGTAAAAATAAATGTTAATGGTATTACCACCCTTCAGTTCCCCTTGCCATTTATTTATTTATTTATTTATTTATTTATTTATTTATTTATTTATTTATTTATTTATTTATTTGAAGATTTTATTTTTAAGTAATGTCTACACCCAACATGGGGCTCAAACTCACAACCCTGAGATCGAGTCACATGCTCTCCTGACTAGGCCAGTCAGAGGCCCTCCCCCTCCCCCTGCCCTTAATTTAAGTATCTTCTCCTATGCTTTGAATCTTCTTCCCATCTGAATAGCCTAATGCTATATCCTATGCTTCAACTGTATGCTCTTAGTTCAATGCTCCATCTATATTCACTTTTCCTAGGAATCCCATACATCAGACCTCCTTCCTCTTTTTTTACATACTATGTTTTCCAAGTTTATCTAGCACTAATTACCATATACCTAATAATCATTATATACTAAATTACCAATAGCTACCAACATCAGCTCTCTTGTTAAGAGTCTTTTGACAAAAGGCACCAATCATTAATCAACGATTTTTAGATGCATAGTAATCCAAAAGTACGTGTGTGATTGAGGACAGAAAGTTCTGGGATAACGAAGAGATTTGAGCCCATTTTTTCACCCAACTTGCCTCTTTTCAATTTTGGAAAAAAAAAAAATCTGTTGAGGGATGAGAAACGAAAACAAATGGTGCATAATTATTTGGTTGACAAATTTCACTTTATGCTACTTGTGCAGAAAAAAATATACAATTTCCTTTTATTCTAAAACTGATTTTATCTCCTCTATCACCTCATCCCACTAAGTAGTTGCAAGGTGGGGGGTAGAGGAAATTAAATACAGAAAATTTAGTTAAAAATTTAGAATACATGGTTATTTGAAGAGTCTCTTTAGATTTAATTCAATTGTTTGACATAACGCGGAACTTTTAGATTCCTCCCCAGCGATGTGCAGGAGAGGCATCTGTGACCTTCTGGGGACAGGAGAAAAAGAACCCTCTGGCTTGTATGCAAGTGATTGGGTACATGCTGGGGCTCTTCCTTGAAATATGAATGACCTGACTTGTCCAAGGTCATGCTGTTGGTGATTGTTTATTAGGTTATAGCATATTCATTCTTGGTTTGTGCAGACCTGGGGTTTCCTTCTTTCCTGGCTTGCCTTCTCTTGGACTCTTGTTAGTGTTGTCCGTTTTCTGAGTCTTTGCCTCATCCTCCAGTGTTCTCTGGCTTTCTAAATCTATCACTTTGCCACAGCATGCCAGACCTAATGACAGATATGCTGGCTCTAAATTCGGCATCCTTAATCTTTATAAAGTGAGGACTAGATTCTTTCCCTGATTGACTACACCATGCATCCCTCATAGATATACTGGCAAGGACTCTTTGTTGGCGTGAAATCACCTTGTAGATCAGTTGCTTCTCCAAAAACCTAATTTCTTTGTCATACTCCTCAATTTACCTAACACATTCATCGAATTCCAGGCTAATTTCAGAGAGGGGAGGGTTGGATCCGTATATCTCACTCACCAGCTATCCCTCTACTCTCATTTGTTTTGCCACAATTCCTCGATGTTTGGCAAATCTCCATGGTTTTCTCTGATTCCTGAGTTGACATCTTCTCTACCTACTTCCCTGAAACTGAAATATCAGTTGAGGTAGGGGAGACAAAAACTCGCTTTTAATAAAGTAATCTAAGTTTGGGATTATTTTAAAAATACTATTCTTGTTACACAAAGAAAAAATATAAAAGACATCTTGGTGAAATCTAGCCAATATCCTTCTAGACCCTCTTTTCTGACATCACTTTTTCCTATTCTCCTATGGCCACTCTTCAAACTTTTGGGGGGTAAACTTCTAGTCCCTTAATGTTGGTGTTACTTGCTTTTTGTCATTAGCCGCCTTTATATTTTCAGTCTTTAATCTTTCCCTAGATGATCTCAGCCACTTCCATGGCTTCAAATAGCACATGTTGACTCATGGTTCCCCGAGAAGAAAGATATCTTTTAATTTCCTATCCCTATTTTGTTAATATAGTTACTAGCTATTGATGGGCTGTCAGTAAATAATTGTAAGTGAAATAAGTGCATGTTTCACCATAGCTAAGGAATCTTTGAATGGAAATTAAATGCAAACAAAATGAAACCTACACATATATTCAGTGGCTATAGAGAACATTTTTTGACAACATAGAGAATTTCCATATGATAACAGGAGTTTTAGATGAAAAGTTAAACTTCTCTTTATAGAATTTTGAACTTGACTCATTGTCCTTCAATTTGTAAAACTGTGTGACCCATAGTCACACAAAGATTGACCACACATCGTTCCGAGTCATACAGGAAAAATGAATCTATTCCTTCCACATTTTATCATCTTACTGAAGGAGAAAGAATAACAAGCAACCAAATTCTAAAAGTTCTTATTTTTTTTCATTTTCAGAGCATCTTAAAGCTCAGAACTATTTAGATATTCAATTTAAAAGAGCAAAATAAAATAAAACAACCACACCCAGCATTGATATAACACTAAAAATAAGCAAATTATAGAAGATATTTTCAAAGTAATTGTTAACCGGGTGTCAGAAACTCTTTTACATGAAGTGGGTATGTTGGGAATCTACTTCTTAGATACTACTTCATGTGCTTTGATAAGGGAATGAATTGATTTGCTAATGACTTAAAAAACCTAAAGTTAAAATATCTTAATTTCAAAGAAATGTCTTTGAAATCAGGTAGAAATCACGTTCTCTTTTTGCTTGGTAACTAAATAGGACATTATTAACCAATTAGCTAAAAGATTGGAAGTTGATGGAATATTACCCTTATTCATAAATATTCATGTTTTTAAATAACTCAGGTTGTTCATTTTCTCAACCTTAAAATCAAAATTAAAAATTTTCAGTTGCATTTTCTCAGCACAGAAAAAAGCTACCTATGGGCTAATAGTTGTGATTTGAATATTGGTATATTAGTTCCTGCTTTAGCTTTAGCCTTCATCAATGCAGAATATGATTATGGTTATACTATGTATATACAAGAGCAAATAGCCAAGAAAAATGATTCAAATAAAATGCTTAACATACTTGTGTATCTTCCTCTTTCATGATCTCAACATCTGTTTTTTTTTTTTTTTCAGAGACAGTATCTGATAATGAAAGAAGGTGTTTATTAAAGATATAGAAACTCTCCTTATGATAAAAGATACTTCCAACACTTTCAAGTGTGGGATTTGATGCATGATCCCAAATTGCACTGATGATTTACATTCAAAAGTTCCTTGAAATAATTTCAAAAATTATAAATGGAGAATTACCACATATCCAACCATGAGAAAAACACAGATCATGGAAAGGAGGCCATTTTCTTAGAGATTTACTTTTTTACTGATTGATTTTTCTTTGTCAGCAAAATAGCATTAAATTAGTATTCATATTCAGAGACTCAATAAACAAATTTTATACAATTTTAAATGGCATCTATGTGGATCTCAATTCTTATCTGAATCTTTTGTTGGTGTGTAGTAAATATCCTATAATAATTGATTCAATGCATCAGAATGTTTAGCTGATAGGAAAACTTCCACAATATATTTCCAAAATTTTTTTATTACATTTTCTTCAGACAAAATTCAACTCCATAATGCTGTGACTCCTTTTGAAGAAAGTATATAGGTTCTATATGAGACTCTACTAGTTTCTATTATATACTGCCATATTAAGACTCCATATATTTTACATTTTTATTATAAAATTGGAACAAAGAAAACTTGTAAAATTGAATTTTGGTTTACGTGAAGTTAACTTGCAGATTACTAATGTTGCAAAGATACTTTTAAGAAGAGTACTTTGTGTGTTGGTGTTTGTGTGGAAGTGGAAGAGAATAATAAAATGATTAAAGATTGACATCTTTAGTTCTCTCCATTTTAGGAAACAGTATAGTCTATGTGTTTTTAGCTGCATATAACAAAAAGTTTCCTTTTTTCACTTGATTTGAGCATTTGTTTGTTTATCTTTTCTCAAGCAGCTTCTACAAACACAGAACTGCAGTGACCTAACATACTACAGAACCAGCCTTTGTTTATTTTTCCCCTATTTGGCCACCCACAAGTTGAGTCAGAGATATACTTTACATTTGTCTATAACCAAAACCACATGGAGGAAATACACTTCCATGGGCCTCTTTAAAATCATGAAATTAAGCCCTTCTTGGATTCAATCTCCAGCAAACAGCAGATGATCTTCTGCTTGTGAATACATCTAAGTTATTAAGTACAATCCATGGAAT